TTTCCTCAGTCCCCCTCCCTGTGCTGCCATGTCTCGAATATGAGATTATCATGTGGGAAACTCAAAATGATGGTATTTGCTGCAAAACTGGTACGTGGGAAAAATATGGAAAAATAGTGTTCAAATAAGTATGCAACTAAGTCTTCTTTACTTGATATCGCTCACTGTAAGGCCCTAGCGAGTGAATGAGCATTGCGGCATCAACGTTGACGCATTTCTTTATTTTGAGGCAAGCAGTCTTAAGAGAGCACTGACAGCCAATCTAAACATTTGTTAAGACTCCCTGAGGGTGGCTTGTGTTTTGCGTGTGCTGCTGCATCAGTTATCTCAAAAATGATTGTACATTTTTTGAACTTGTGGTAGAGGTGATCTCTTTTACTAGACCAACTAGGTCTATTAAATAATAATAATAAAAGAGATCACCTTTACTATGAGTAAAGGAATACTATGATTATTCCTTTTGCCTCTGGACCAAGATGGCTACAACCTGGATGCCATTGTACGTTTTGAACATTTTTTACTATTCTCAATTGTACAAAGGTTGAAATTATCATACAAATATAATTATTGTACACCTGGCAACACTGTGACCTCCCCCCCCCCCCCACACCAAGACACCTATAAACCTTACCTTCAGTAAGGAGGGCCAGTACATACGTGACAGTTGGGTACTAGGAACAACGAAAGAGCAAATGGGGTGGGAGTGAGCTGGCAGGTTAATGATGATGAATGCACCAACAGGGGACACTGAGCAGAGCATGTCCGCCAATGCCTACTGGCCCTCGAATGAGTGTTGGTAATGCACTAGCCCTGGGGGTGCCACCCCAGGAAACTGCCTGAGGATGTGCGTGGACTGTCAGCGTCTGCATGGACATGTCAGTGACAGGCCTATTTGTTATGTGAGGTGAGGCAGCGATGGGCCTAGGCCAGAGGTTCTCAAACTGTCCACGAGCTCTATTGAGGTGGCCCACAGAAAGGTTGCAGAACAGTGAAGAATATCTGTACTTGTAAGGTAAGACTACTGATATTAAAATATGAGTCGTGTGCTTTGATTTGTAGAACAAAAAAAAGTTATGACCCGCCGAGACCCTCAGCAATTTTCAAGTGGTCCACAAAAAAAAAGTTTGAGAACCACTGGCCTAGGCCACCAAGAGAAGCCCCACTTAGGGGGGCCTAATGAGATTCTGGACTACAACAAAAAAGAAAATGAGTATGGGAGTGCAGTTCAAAGGGTGGTATTCTAAGGGGAGATGTAGAGCATGCCAGCAAGCATCCACTGGCCTGTGAATGAATCCAGAGCTTGTGGACACTGACCAGTGAAACTGCATAGAGATATGTGCAGACTGTCAGAAAAAGGCCTGTTTGTTACATATAGGGGATTGTGAACCTTGGTCCACACTGAAACTGCTAGCCCCTTCAAGAAGGGGCTATTAAGGGTATAACAACTGAATACTCGGGGCAAGTAAAGTGAAAACAAGGATGGGAATGGGCATCAGGGGCTCATAATGAGTGCTCCACATAGGGACACTGAGCAGAGGACACAGGCCAATGCCTGCTGGCCCTTGAACAAGTTCAAGAAACTGGTGTACACAGCCCTGTGAAACTCTGCCTGGAGACAGGCATGAACTGTTAGAGACAGGATACTGGGTCAGGTAGAATACTGAATTGGCCCAGTATAGCATTTCTTATGTTCTTATGTTAGGGATGAATGAGTGTATGTCAAAGTGAAGAGTATAACGCTGACAAGAAATATTCCTGCATGTAAAAGAAAACTTTGGGCAGCAATAAGGTAAAGCCAGAGCTATAAATGTAACAAAACCCTGTGAATATCAGTTAAGAATGTAGTTTCCTTGTTCCCCAGTCCTTTAAAAAAGTGCCTTCGACTCCATCTTCCTTGCGATGTCCAGCATTTTGCCTTCAGATGCTCTCGGCCGAAGAATTCTGTGTGATATGGAATATGCAACTGTGCAGTATGTGGGCAGTGTGCCACCTACCAAAGGTAGAGAAAGAAAAAGATTGTTAATGGTAAAGGGTTTGTAAACAAAAAGTTTGACTTTGGCTTTCTTACACTAGGCTTCCTTATGTCATATTTTTGGCTCTTGATCAGAGTACTGTTTTGCTGCCTATACAACTTTGTTTATTAGTTAACAATGTAAGTTGTCCCAGTGACCTGAACAGCTGCATTGAGATTTTTTTTTTAAATGCCAATAGTTGCAATTATAGCACGTGGTTACAAAATTGTCCAAAGGACTTTAAATCCTGAAGATAGTCTGATCTGAAATTGGCTTCAATACACGTTTCAGAATGGAGACACATCACTGGTTGCACAGCACCTCAGGCTGTCCTAGCACAGGAAAGCCCTGAGACAAACTCATTATTCTTTTGGAAGGTACTTGTGACCATCTCACTGGATGGGAAGGACTAGAGGAAAGGACAAGAAGTGAACCAGAGTGAATATTTAATACATTCCTACTATATGAATTAAAACTTCATTCATCTTGGAGTTCTTGTGACCTACACAGACAACAAAATGATGTCACCAGAGCCCTTACAGCCTCAAATCAAATCAGGGCTCATGATCTAAAAAATAATCCTATTTTGACAATGATTTTGAGGATGTTTTCTAATTATGAAGTAATAACACCCTAAGCTAAACATACTCTTGGGACAGAGACTTTATCTCTCAAGCCCGGTAGAAGAGGATATTAGGTGTGTAACATTTATAGCATCTGGGAGGTTTGAGAATTCTCTGTGCATTGGCACAGTTTCCCATTTGCAGTTACCTTTTTAGGGAGAGACTGCAGCCTGAAGTCTTTTGTAGGATTTTTGGACAGCTTAGGTTCCCTTTTGTTTTCCCTCTTCAGAACCTGTCTAATTTTTTTGTATAGCACTTTCACATAAACAATCTCGTTCAAGCTTTAGCTTTTATTTAAACAAAACAGTGTGAAAAAATGGGGGAAAAACACTTTATAGAAATGTTTTTTATTGCTGTCAGGAACTATGTCAGCTGTAGGCCAAATCATTTTGCAAATGTTAGAGTTGTCAGTAGCTTTTTAAGTAAGGATTTGCATTAGAAATCAGCTTTAAAGACACCTCATCCTCCCCATAGTTAACAAATCTAATAAATAAAAATGTTTAATATATTTGTGAATCATTGTATTATTATTATTATTTAAAGGGCTGTGGATTGGAGTAGAGTGGGATAATCCCCAAAGAGGAAAGCATGATGGTAATCACAAAGGAATACGGTATTTTAAATGCAGGTAAGTTGATTCTTGTGCAAGTTATATGTGACCAAGGCTATAAAAATGGGTGGGGAGAGAACCAATATGTACCGTAGCTATTGCCGGTTCATACTGTGTTCACTGAAGTCTGCCCTTGAGTATTTAGGAACTATTCCAATGGTCATGTAAGCCAGTGCATATTTGGTCAGACCCTAAACCAGTGGTTCTCAGCCTCAGACTTGAATCACTCCATGTAAAGTGTGAGCTCTTGGATTTCGCTCATTTTCTGACTAGGGAAAAATAATAGAGTAATTATTTTTTCTGCAAAGAACTCAGACCACAACAGCTAAGAAATGCTTTTGTCATTACAGATTTCTATTTGAAAACCCTGGGTGTAGCCTGTGAATGATGTGAAAGTGTTTGCACACATAACAGTGCTAATAATTGCGTGGCACCCTGTAACACCCTTAAAAGGATTTCACTACCCAAGGATGCCATGGCACTTGGTTGAGAATCACTGCCCTAAACTCTAGCTTTTACCACTGGCTGTACTGAGAAGCAGGTTTCCAGGTTGATCCAGTTGTAGGAGCTAAACCCAAATATCTAATTTTAAAGAGCCTGTTTGGAAGTTGTATTGCATCTGTGAGGTTTGACTGCTGGATGCCATTGATGGCTCTGTGTTGTAGATCAGTGGTTCTCAACCTTTCTTGTACCAGGATCCATTTGTAAACATCAATGGCCAGCCCTGACCCAGTGCCCCTCACTCCTGACCTGCTGTCCCTCCACCCCCAGATCTCAAGCTTCCCAGTGTGTGGGGCAGGGGGGCCCCAAGCAGCCCCTTGCAGGCAGGAACTGCTAGCTTGCAAAGGAAAAGCCACAGTTTCCCACATTTTTTTTCCTTTTGAAGGAGAATCCATTTTTTAAGTTTGTTGATACATTGTTAAAATTTGTTCGCAACCTTTTCATATATTCTTGCGACCCACTTTTGGGTTGTGACCCACAGGTTAAGAAACACTGTTCTAGATAGAGAGAAGGGTGTTTGGGAAATTGAGTTTAGTGGAGAAGCTTAAATGTCCTGCCTACTTTGTAATGCTGCAGAATTGTGTGAAGCTGGTTGTTAGTTACCAGTTCTGTGTATGTATCTCTTGAATTCAAGCAACAATTATTCAAACACCCCTTAAGGCAAGTACCGTTGAGTTTTGTGGGGTTCTCTTGTTTTGAGGGAAGATGTTTGGTCTCTTTGGTACATTTAATGGATGATCATGGGATATATTTAAGTCTTTTGTAAGGTATTGAAGCTTGGTGATAGTGTAATGTTTTTCTGAGGTTTATTGTATGTAATGACATGTTACAGTTCCTATTCTGTGTTAATATTTTACTTCATTTGCTGTTGCAAAACTATGGTTGCTTTAAATATATATTTAAAAAATCTTGAATTTTTGAGGAATAAGTAGAAATCTCTAGAAAGAGGGAACCTCTACAGATTTTTTTTTTCTTCTGTTTTTGTTTTCCCCTAAAAGCCCTTCTCAACAAACATTTTCATCCTTCCACAATGTCACCAGTCTGGATCAAATCAAAAACATTTTCATCAGTTTGAAATTCTGTACTTTATTGTTACATCAATGTAGATATTAAGGTAAATTTTAAACACTCCCCAGACAAGAATCATAAAAGCCAGGGCTGTCCTAATAATGTTAGCTTACTCACGTTTTATGTGGAGTATTTGGGTCACAAGATATAGGGACTAAAAACTTAACTAGAAATAAATGATATGCAGTAAGACAAGATAAGGATTTTATGCAGACTTTAACTTTTGTGTGTTTTGATTTTGAAAGTCTTTGTTTTAAAAAGGAAAATTATTTCAGAGGATCTTTTTAGGGATAAAGTAGTTTTTAAAAAAATTTTAAATCACAGTGTTACCCATATCACATTGCATTGTACTTATGTGTGGCTAGTCTTATTTCTGTAATGATAGTAAAAACAGTAGATTTTGACATAAAATTTTCCTTCACCATGAAATCCAGGATTTACTCATTCCCAGCAGACTGAAGTATTTCAGAGAAATTCAGATAACAGAATGATGAGAGGGGACCAAGTGATCTTGTTTCTACATCCTTTTGTATGTGTTTGTGTTTTACAGTCTCCAACAACTACTACAGGGCAGTTAACTTATTGTCAGTATTAATTTTTTTACAGCAATTTAGTGCTTTAAAGTAGTCAGTACCAAAAGTTTTTTTTAAACTACATGGCTACATAGCTTGCACCAAATATTTAGAATTAGTGGAAGGAGTGGTTTTTTTTCTCTATTTTCTGTGTTCATTTTCTCAGAATTTTTCTTGCTTTTGTCTGTCATTTGGAATTACTACTTCAGGCAAGTGATAAAAATAGAAATTAAATAGAAAAGTCTTCTGAAGGATGATCTAAATACTACCTATGGCTAGAAACTACCTATCTTTCTTTATGATTACTGTATTTATGCAAATCCGAGAAGACTCTGAATTTAAGATGATTCCCCAATATAAATGAACAATTTATAACTTATAAGTTTCCAAGTATAGAATCTATTATTGGAGGGTTGTCTTAAATTTGTACCCCCTCTGCTGCAGCAGGGAAAGCAGTGGCAGGAGGGCAGGTGGTGAGGGAAGAAGTGGGGGGAGCAGGCAGTGGGGTAGTTGAGCAGCCTGACACTTGACACACTTTGCCCTCAGCTTCATGTCCCCTCAGCCACTTGCCCCCTGTCCTGCCCAATGCCTGCCCCTGTCCTCTGCTTTGCGGGGCCTGCCCATCCGGCACCTGTCCCCCTGGCTGCACCACCTGTGACCTGCCCCTCTGGGGCACCCCCTACCCCCTGCTGCCAGCTAGTATCCCCCCCATGCCTGCTCAGAATTCTTGATGAGGAAACACCCAGTTTAGACCTGGGAAGGGGCACTTTGTGCCTGAAAACTTATCCAACAGCTCTTCCAACTACACTCAGTTCAGTAAAAGCTATCACAAAAAATCCTTACTTACTAATGAGGAACAACAATTCAGCCTCAGATGATTGCTATTGAAGAGTTTACCCATTATTTTCTTTTTTTTATGTGAATGATTAAACAAGTTACAGCCCCTAGAAGGATTTCAAAATAACCCCCTACTTAGCAAAAGGGGTTGAAGTGAATGAGGGTGGATTCTGTTTGACAGTGTAAATCAGAATTCTGTCTGCATGCGCTAGCACTCTGGACTCATACAGGGGGGAAGCCCTAGAGGCTTAATTATCAGAAAATGAGATGATAAAGCTAAGCCTATTCTTTAAGAGGGGAATGGAGAAGGAATGAGAGATGGCTTTGAGGGATGGATAGTTTTATGTCCTAAATCTAATAATAGTAATTAATAATAAAACTAGGTTTAAGGAAGATGAAGATATTCTCAGCAGAAAAGGAGAATTAAATATAATGACTCCAGTTAGCCAAAAAATTCCAATTCAGAATCCCAGGATTGCAGTCCCTCCTAAATTTCTTAGAAGTAAGGGTTTGTCAAAGGCTTTAAATTCAGTTGAAGCAAAAAGATGTAGAGATCCTCAGTGCCCAAGTCTGAGCTTATACTGCCACTGAGGAGAGAGGATTAAAGTGTGTGTGAGTGAGCAAAGAAGGCGGGTACAGTGTACTCATTTTATTGGCATATTGGGCAGCTCCATAACACAATGTCAGTTCCAGTTTATTAAGTATTATAACAAAATATTAGTTATCTGCATATTTGTAGTGCATAAAACACTGAAGTGCACAGCATCTTTGGGCCCTACCATCTACTTTGTAACCTAATGTTATGTCTTGTAACTGCATAGCTGCTGAAAATGACTATGAGCCAGCAATTTCAAGATCCCTAACTTAGCCTTGAACTGATTAGCCTGTCAGTTTTCAGGCTGCCACAAAAGGGAGAAGGTCCTCTGAAAAAAGTTGCAGAGCTTTAATGAGGTATGAAAAGCTTGGGTTGTTGTTGTAGTTTCATGAGCATTACAGGGAGTTGAGGTTAACAAATAGTCTTAGCCTTTTATCAGTCCTGGTCTATGTACTTAAACGGAGTACACTGCTTAGCAAAGATAAAGGTAGATAAAGGTTGTGCATAAAACACTGAAGCGCTTTATAAATAAAGGTAGATCTTTGCCATAGGTAAAGGTAGTCAAAAGGTGGGAGTGGTTTCTGCATGCTTCTGTTGAAGAAAACTTGTGAGAAGGTTTTATTTTAAACAGCTGTTCCAAACTATGGCCAAAGGGCAAGGTATTTTAATGTGTTTACTTTGTCCAGTCTAGCAAACCTTCTGGTGTGAATTATCCATACTCTAGTAGTTTACTGGGATTCTGCTCATCTGTAAGATTACTCTGCCTAGTAATGCAGATGTACAAGCAGATCCTAAAGTTGCATGTCTCAGCCACAGTGGTTTGTCTGGATCTGAGTTGTAACTGGCCAGGACTGTACCCAGGACAGTCCCCCTGTCTTTCTTCCCTCTGTACCTTTTTGTAGGGCTCTGATAGCTTTGGCAACAGGTAGTATGCAGGAGCAGCAGTGGAATTTGGGCCTACTGATGGAAGATGTCACCTTTTTTTGCTGCAGGCACTCATGTTGAGTGGGCAAGCCTCCTCTACCCGCC